ATGAAACAAAAATTAAAGATTTATAAGAAACACGTTTTAAACCAAGAAACACCAATGAGGTTTTCGTTCACAATGTTAGGGAGTGTTGCAAACAGAGATTGCTGAGTCTGAACATCAAGAGAATACGAGAAAACTTGATTAGCTAAGTGGTCAGCGTAACAATTACTTTCTTTGTGAACATGTTAGATGTTGACGTTTTAATCATTCTCTAAATAAGCCTGTATTGCTAGAACCATGTAGGAATTAATATTGATGTGAACAATATTTTTGTCGAGGACTCTAGTCAGAATCTGAACTGTAAGACTGCTATTCAGTTTGAGAATGACTCTACATGCAAATTGGATAACAGTTTTGCAATTCAGATCTTGACTAGAGTACTCAACAAGAATATTATTCACATCAATAGAGGGTTTTGATACACCAATATATGGTAAATATAATCTTTGCAACAAAAGTAGAGTATAAATTAAATAGAAGAATAAAGATTAAGAGGTAAGGTGGATAAAATTAGAAAGAATTTGTAATAGTTAATTGGATATCATGACCTTCGTTATCATGTAATTGATGAATATTATGTTTGATTTAGATTATACTAATTAATTAGTTTTTTTTTTTGTTTAATATTGTTGAATATTAGTAACGAAATTCATAAACATCAATTTAGATAATTTATTATAGATATTTTAATCTTTATATTGTTATTGAATCATAATGACTTATTAAAAATGATAGAAATATAAAAAATAATAATAATTCAAAATTAATTGACCAAAAAAACTTGTAAACATAGAAAATCAATTATCATAAATTCTTCTCAATTCTATTATCTCCTTCCTCCTCAACTCCATACACTTGGATATCAATAATTAATATCGTGTCATTTGTTATTATGTTAGCAGAAAAATCTTAGCTGAAATCTTTATTATATAAAAGAATAAAAAAACTTAGACAAATAAAATAAAAAAGAACATTAGTGCAAGTTATTTAATGCTACATAGTAATAATAATAATAATAATAATAATATACTGAAATTCCATTACGAGTATATAATTAGTAAATAAACGAAAGTTAAAGAGTTGAAATTCCGTAATGACTACGTCGATAAATGAAATGCTATAAGTATTTATGAATGAAAGTGTGGTGAACTGCCACATGGTGAAGCTCGTAGAGCCCGCATGGTGAGGAGACCAACGGTGAGCAGCAGATCACAGAAGAGTGTTGAATCTTCCGTTTCCTTCATCACTTCATTATTAAATTCCAGGGTTGCTGCAAGACTCCCTAACCCATAACTTCAAATAAAAAACAACTCATTTTCATCTTTTTTTCCTGATCAAAGAGTTTCTCATCTTTTTAAATTCCATACTCCAATCTCTAGGCATTTGTCATCTCTAGCTGTTCTGATTTGCTCACTATTTCACCAATGGATTCCTGCTCTGCGGCATTCACTGTTACAAATGCCATTAGCAAAGGAGGTATCAGCAATGGAGTTAGCATGTTTTGGGGCGAGAGTGTCATGAGCCGTCTGCGGAACAGAGATTGGAGCGGTCGGTTCTCGCAGAATTTGAAAATTGAAAGAAAAGCTACGCGGATCAAGCGCGGAGTTGCTTACTCTCTTATTACTTCAGATATTGACAAAGAATTCATGGTGAGTATAGTCATAGGTTACATCAAAGTGAATATTCTTTTCCTTTTTTTTTTAATACTTTGTCGATAAGCTGTCAGAAATTCGCTGCAATCTGATTCTTTTTCCTTTTCCCTGAATCCGGCAACTATTCTAACTATTGGTTTTGATTTTTGAGATAACAGACATTTAAGAGACCATTTTTCACCACACCGAAAGCAGATCCGAAGAATGTAGCATCCATCATATTGGGTGGAGGAGCTGGTACACGTCTGTTTCCTCTTACTAGCCGAAGGGCAAAGCCAGCGGTGAGAGATTACTAACTCCTGATTTCCTACGAATTTAATTAGTACGATAATCACTGGATTATTTAAAAATTGCCTAGCTGCCTAAGTTCTGGAAACAAGAGTCATGATTAGTGGGTTCCATAAATCATTTGTAAATAAAGAAACATGCTAAATATGCTTGCTTTTGTTTAAGGAAATATTATTTTTTAAAGGAAAGAATAAGAGGTTGTATTCAATTCAAATTTGGATTCTGAGTGTTACCATAATTTTTTTTTTGTTTGGCATGCAGGTTCCTATTGGGGGTTGTTATAGGTTGATTGATATCCCAATGAGCAATTGCATTAACAGTGGTATAAGAAAGATATTTATTTTAACTCAGTTCAACTCCTTTTCCCTCAATCGTCACCTTGCTCGCACATACAATTTTGGAAATGGTGTGAATTTTGGAGATGGATTTGTTGAGGTAAGATTATTTTTTAGCAAAATATAGTATGTTAAAACTGCATAGTTGAGACAAAATTATCTTTAAACTACAAAATGCTTTGTTATTATGCTATACGTGAAAAGGCTGCCTCGAGGAGCTCTGCCATTTTTCCACACATCTACAAATTGCAGATTTTGAAACTTTCTGACTGGATTCTGTTGATCTGACAAGTAGGTTTTAGCTGCTACTCTAACACCAGGAGAAACAGGAAAAACTTGGTTCCAAGGAACAGCAGATGCTGTGAGGCAATTCATATGGGTCTTTGAGGTGATTGCTTAGACTTTTGACTTCATGCTAGTAATTCTTAACCAAGAGACATGAAAGTATACTGACTGAGACTTAAGTGAGTAATTCAGAGTGCAAAGAACAAAAATGTTGAGCATGTACTGATCTTATCTGGCGATCATCTATATCGGATGGACTATATGGAATTTGTGCAGGTATTACTATCGCACTTTCTGCTGGAATTTTGCGCATCTATTTCATTTTTTTTTTCTGTAACATGCATTAAGATATTCTTTTATCTAATATGTTTTAAGAATTTTAAATGGAATAATGTTGCTTATTAATGGTATTATTGCTGCAGAAACATATTGAAACTAATGCTGACATTACAGTTTCATGTGTACCCATGGATGACAGGTATACACCTTTATACTATTGCATTTCCTTTCTCTGGGAAAAGATCATAACAACACTTGTATTTTCTGAATATGCCATTTAAACTAAGAGAACAATATTTAAGGTTCTGATCTCTCAGTAATCTGCCATTTCCTTTGGGTTTAACATCTTCAGTTTCTGGATGAAATACATTTCTGGTGTTGAGGACATTAATCATGCATTGATGTTACCTCTATGAATTCTAGTTCTATAATTAGTTTTGGTTGTGTTGGAACTAGAAAGAGATTGGAAAGGAATGGCAATCGTGATGGGGTTCTCGGTCTTGCATGGTCTAACACTTGCAATCAAATAGCATCTATGCTTATTTCATGGAAGGACACTTTGATGTGCAAGTGAAGCAAGAACTTTAAGAGACCTGAACGTACAAAAAGTTTATTTGAGCTTGATTAGCATCTGCTATTCCTCCTGATCAGTTTATATAGGTGAGCATGTTAATTATCATCCATCAGGCCATGGGCATGATGGGGAGATCATGGATGACATAATAGGCATTTGAAAAAGACAAGGAGAGTTCTGCTTCCAGTAAAGTGGTAAATGTTGCCAGTGGGTAGGATGACAGTACTAGTGGTTTGTGTAGTGTATGTCATTGACGTGATGTAGATAGTGGCAATGGTACGTTTTAAGTGATCTGGTAGCTAAAATGGCAACATTGGGATGCCCAAGCCCACATGCATGCTCTCGTAGGGTAGGGCTCTGTGATTAAAAGTAGACTTATACTATTATTTTTTGCAGCCGTGCATCAGATTATGGACTGGTGAAGATTGACCAATCCGGACGAATAATCCAATTTGCTGAGAAACCAAAAGGCAATGACCTGAAAGCAATGGTAGACACCTCTGGAATTTATTGTTACAAGATAGGGTTTTAATTGTGCTAACTGAGATTTGTCATAGATATTTTCTGCAGCTGTTATGGTATACTAGCTTTTGCCTAATTTTTTCTGCTTGTTTGTTTGATATTTGCATTGCAGCAAGTTGACACTACCGTTCTTGGGCTATCCAGGCATGAATCTGCCAAATTCCCTTATATTGCATCAATGGGGGTTTATGTATTTAGGACTGAGGTTCTGCTAAACCTTTTGAAATCAAGCTATCCCACTTGCAATGACTTTGGGTCTGAAATTATTCCATCCGCCGTGACAGATCACAAAGTCCAAGTATGTAAAATTTAAGGAATGATTTTCATCATATATTTTCTTTTCTTGTGGTCTTTCAATACTGATTGGTCTTGAGTTTGAATACATTAATTTAATATAGAGATGAAATGATCAAACTGCTGAGTTCACGGGTCTCCTATATTTACAGGCATATTTATTTAATGATTATTGGGAGGATATTGGAACAATAAAGTCCTTTTTTGACTCGAACTTGGCCCTCACTGAACAGGTTGGTTATACTATTATGCATATGCTCCATTTAGCATATAAAAATGTTTTCTAGTTGTATATAGTGATGTGTTTGTTTGGTATTTTTAAGTATAAAAGCAAAACATAAGAAAGAGAGTTTTTTCATTCTTTTCAAACTCAAGCCACATTTCATTAATATTTTTCAAACTGTGATTTCATTTTAAACTAGCACATGTATTGATATTGAACATATATGAGTGTACGACATGAAAATTTAATATTTTTATATACCAAACAAAACCTTTTATCTCTATTAATTCTCTAGCCCTATTTGTAATAACTGTGTACCTTGTTGAGTCACAGATAATTCATTTGTAAGTATTTCATAATGTTTTTGTTGTGTGTTTGAATCTGGGCTAATAAGGTAGTGTATTTTCATACAGCCCCCAAAGTTTGAATTCTATGATCCGAAGACACCTTTCTTCACATCTCCAAGATTCTTGCCACCTACCAAAGTTGATAGATGCAGGGTATGCTTTTGAGTTTCAATGAGGGTGTGATTTTAATTGCTTCTTGCAACCTCACAACCGAGCTATTGCAGATTACAGATGCTATAATTTCACATGGTTGCTTCTTGCGAGAATGCAGCATAGAACACACTATAGTGGGTGTGCGTTCACGTTTGGAGTCTGGAGTGGAGCTTAAGGTGAGCCAATTTTCCTTTTCATCTTTCTTTAGAGAGAGACATAGTAAGACCTGTTGATAAACAAAGGAACCCAGAGCCAAGGTTACAATACCTAACTACATCCAGGACAATTCACATTTGAAAGTAGACGCACTCCAATGGAAAGGCAAATATCATAGTGTTCTAGTTGATGAAATTGGCACCACCAGGAATCAGTTCCTCAGTTCCAGCGGAAACAAACTCTATAAAAAAGTGCTCTTGCTAATTTAGTAGGATAAATATTATAACCATTGTGTTCCACCTCTCCAAAGCTAGTTTGTTTGTGGTTTTATGCAACCATTTCTCAATGCAAGTTGCATGATAAACCAAGGTCGCAGAAGAAAAGGGAAAGTATCCTCTCCAAAAGAATTCCTCATAAATTGCTCCATTTCTTATTTTATTATCATGATATAATTATCCTCTATTATAAACCAAAGTGGCCATTATTTTCGTTTGTTCACATGGGTAACTTTTTTAACACCTGGACATTACTTGTAATCTTTTCTATTTTTAAGGCATGCACTGATTATTTGCAATTTGAGTTTGTATATTCCTGCAGGATACTATGATGATGGGTGCAGACTACTATCAAACGGATTCTGAAATTGCTTCTCTCCTTGCAGAAGGAAAGGTTCCAATTGGTGTTGGACAGAATACCAAAATCAGGTGAGACTCTGTGAAGGCACACGGTGGTACAGGGCAGCATTGCCCAGACTGCAAAAATGACTGCAGAGTCCTCAAATCAAATTTTATCTAGAAGACAGCATATTTTAATGGTTGAAATATGCTATGAAAATTATGTAAAAGTATTTTGTTGCGAGAAAATATTTGTCAAGTATATATATTTATAGACATGTATCTGTGTAATATAAAGGGGAAAATGTTAACGCATAAGTTTTTGTTGATGCTCATCTATTTCTCATTTTGAAGGAATTGCATTATCGACAAGAATGCCAAGATAGGGAAGGATGTGGTCATTGCAAATGCTGATGTAAGTATAGCTTCCAGTTCCTTGATTCTTGAAAATTTCAAACAACCGAAATATATTACAAGATGCTAACAGTCATGAACGATATTCTACAACTTGTCAGGGTGTTGAAGAAGCAGACAGAGCTAGTGACGGATTTTACATTAGGTCCGGAATCACAGTCATACTGAAGAATGCAACAATTCGAGATGGAATGATTATTTAAACAAAATCTTTCAGGAACATGCCCTGAAAAGCTGATATTTTTGCTGCCTTTTAACTAGTCTAGTTTGAGCCTGTAGTGAAAACTTATGTGGTAATAAGGCTTTATGTTTGTATGTAAGTTATGGTAATCCATTAGCTTACCAAAGAAAAGCCAGTTGTAGGTTTTCTTTTTTTTTTTTTTTTTTTTTTTTTTTTTTCAAACAAATATATAATTACACTACAGCTCTATTAGTTTTTTGCATTGTAGTGTAAGACTATCATCTGCAGATGGCAATTAACACCCGTTGAAGAACAAGTATCATCTTCCTTTCTAAATTGACTTCTCCATATATACTGATACATATAACCTTGAAAACTGGTAGGACATAAAGATGACAATGCATCGATTTTGGATAGGTTCTGTAAAATACAAACACGACCCATTTATGAATAGAAAAAATCTTAATCTGCCATAAGCTCAGGGTAAGTTCATTAAAATTTCGAACCAACTCCATTGGCCCAGACTCAATATATAAAATAATGACAGTTTTATATTTCCACTTTCCTGTAGAAAAATTATATAAATATCTAACTTGATTTAAACATAAAATTGATTTGAAATTAAAATACAATTATCATTTAAGTTTATATCATGTTCTTAATTCAGGAAATTAAAATCTAAACAATTCTCAAATTCAATACTGAGTTATGTTATTTTGATTGAAAAAGTAGTTTGGTTTAGTAGGTAATGGTGG